ATTTATAATGAATGTGTCTAGGAACGCTGTCAGATTGAAGCTTGAGCCTATTAGAATAACTACCATCTAAGGGTAAATCAGGGGTAGGGAGGCGGGGGTGGGTACAGGAGGTGGTGTGGAGGGTGGCAAAAAGGAGGACATGTGGAAATCCTGTCCAGACTTCCCTTTTATTATCAGCTTGCATCTACTTTGCATACAGCTGGTTGTTATCAACCTCTATTTCCATTTCTTTGTTTTTTTAACTTCAAAGTAATTTAATTAATATGTGTTACTATTTCCATTTCTTAAATCTTTCTTAAGACAAATTGCCTCATCCTTACCCCTGAAGCATCCTCTCTAAAACTCTTTTAATTGGCCCTCCTGTCCCAAGATAGAGAAGCTACCAACACCTCTTGCCTTTGGCCGTCACAGTAAACTAAGGCTACTAAATACAAAGTGTCTCCACTATGGGCTTTCTGTAGTGTTCCCCAATTTTCTTTCTATTTCTTTTGTCTTCTTTCTGTAGCATTTGATGGTGTTTACTTCTCCACTTTCAAACTCTAACATCCCACGGTTGTTTTCTTTCCTGCTTCTCTGCTTCTTCAACGGCTCCTGGTCAGTCAACTTAGGCTTTTCCCCCATGTGTCCTTTAAATGTAGGTGTTTAAAGAGTTACTCTTCTTAGTACTCTTTCTTCTTTATTGCTGTCTTACCCAGTTAAGTCAAAAAACATTTCTTTTTCATATTCTCTTTCATTATAGTTTATTACAAGGTATTGAATATAGTTCCCTGTGCTATAAAGTAGAACCTTATTGTTTATCTATTTTAGATATTGTAGTATCTGCAAATCCCAAACTCCCAGTTTATTCCTCCCCACCCCTTTGAATATGAATATGAAAAGGAATATACATATATATGTACAGCTGAATCACTATGCGGTACACCAGAAATTAACACAACATTGTAAATCGACTATATTTCAATTAAAAAAGAAAAAAAATTTTCGAAAGCCTACATCCTATTAAGTACTGTGTTATCAGACACAAAGGACATAGCCTTGCCTTCAAAGAGTCACAATTCAGTGAGGGAGACAGACCAGGCATTAAAGCATTAGAATATACTGTGACGCTGTTTTGTCTGGAAGATGGAACTTAGGCATGGATCTGGGTGGAGGGCTTTATCCCATCTGTATTCCAGTGGATTCCTCTAAGAGCAACACCTTGTGATATTATGATTTACAAGAAGAAATAAATTTTTGGTCTATGTCCTGTTTCTGGCACAGAATTCCTAAAACGAATTTCCTGAGACGAGAGCAATACAGATGTCTTGTTAGGTTAGTGAGGTGATTTTGGAAAGGACTGGTTGCCAGTGGAGCCGACCATGTGATTGGAGGGTTGGAACTTTCAGTTCCACTTCCTGACTTGTGGGGAGGGGAGAAGAACTGGAGACTGAGTTCATGATTTAGTTGATCATGCCTCCCTCCACAAAACCCTAAAAGAATGAGTTTTGGAGAGTTTCCATTTGGTGAACTAGTGGAGATCTGGGGAGTGCTGCTGGCTCAGAGAGGGTATGAAGTACCACATCCTTTCTGACATTTTGTCCTATGCATCTCTTCCATCTGGCTGTTCCTGAAGTATAGCCTTTTATAATAAACTGGTAATCTAGTGAGTAAACTGTTTCTCTGAGTTATGTGAGCTGCTCTAGCAAATTCATTGAACCCAAGGAGGAGGTTGTGGGAACCTCGATCTATAGCTGGGCAGTCAGAAGCACAGGTGATAATCTGGGTTTGTGATTGGTATCTAAAGTGTGGGGTTGGGGGGGTGGGGAGGGAGGCACAATCTTGTAGGATGGAGCCCTTAAGCTGTGCATCTGATGCCATCTCTGGGTAAGCAGTGTCAGAAATGAGTTAAATTCTAGGACACCCAGCTGGTGTCAGAAAATTACTTTGTGTGGGAACTTCCCCCTTCCTCCTTTGGAAATTGGGTGCAGGATCCTAACTGAGTGATCTGAAGTTTTGATTGGTACTAGAATTATTTTACACCACACTTATTTTGAAAGCCCAAGGAAGAGTCAGCCATGTGGAAATGGAGAGAGGGTGGAGTGAGCTGAATGTTCCAGGCAGGGGAAACAGTTTCTTCAAAGGTTAAGTGAAGTATGATATCTGTTGAACTATAGTGGACTAATATGATTGACACATAGAATAAGTCTGGGGAAGAGAAGAAAAATGGGAGTTGAGTTAGAAAGAAGCCAAAATATGAAAATTCTTGTATGACATCCTAAATGTATGTGTCAGCTTTTAACTGTTACCCTTCAACCTTGATCTGAGGAACATTTCTTTTATTGTGAAAATACATTCACCAGTTTAATAAGGAGAGACCCACTAAGGAAATAGAATTTGCTTTTTAATGCTTTTCTGCAGGTCTATTTCATGAAATTACTGAACTTTCCTAATAACAACCAAGTCATTACTAATTTAATTCTTTTGATTCCCCCATTCCACAGTACGTTTAGGATTAAAAAAAAAAAAGAGTACTAACATCCCAAACATCATTTGAACTAGTTTTAGGAATCAGATTTATACAAACAAAAGTGAAAGGACTTAAGTATATGTGCACAAGAATAAATGTCCTTGAGTGTAGCAGCAAAAAGGACAAAAGAGAAACCCCAAATACCCATCAATAGCTGAATGCTTGAATAAATGTGATACATCTTTTTTATGGTCTATTATGCAACTGTTAAAAATCACATATTTGATCTATTGATTCAGGGGGTTACTATGGTGTTTTGTTAATTGGGAAGACAATGAGCTGGCAATGACCTTAGTATCATGCCCTCCTTACCCAGGTTTTGGGATGACAACCTTAGTCAGAAATGACCTGAATTGTATTTCCATTCTTGTTTTGGTTGATAATTTTTTCCCCATGTTGGACCTCATTTATTTTATTAATGACGGCCTTTTCCACATCAATAACTCGTGCTGGCAACATATCATTTCTTACTGATAATAGAGTTGCTAAACTAATTTTATAAAGAGCATGGTTTCTTCACTTGAAATTTTTCTGCATTTAGTTTTTAAAGTACACATTTTTCCCCTTTGATCTCATCAAATTCCAACCACCACATTCTTATTTCTCTAGATGATATATTACTTGCATCTGCACAGATCCACATAATGCTAACACCCTGGAGGTGTGATTATCCCAAAGAACGAGTTAGCATTTGCATCAGTCGTCTGCAACAGTATCTCGTGCAAAATACTTTTTCAGTGTTGCTACCCTGGGAGGAGTTTAATAAATATCCCTAAGTATAGACAGAGAACAATTTCTGGCCTAAGAACTACCTGTAAAAGTTTCCTATTGTTGGGGTGCCTTTCCTTGTGACTGGTTTAACTTTTTCATCACCATATGTTACAGGATGAGAGGTTAGAATTATTTTACTTTGTGTTTTTGCTGTTTGCATCTTTCAATGAACATCATTAAATATTTTACAGAAATTGCTCAAATTAAGTAGCAATTAAAAGCGCCTGTTTTCTAAAGCCATGCATAGTATTAATGACCTTTCAGATACACTTTTCAAAATTCTAGTATTTTTCTTTCTTTTAAATTTCCTACAGGATGTTGTACATGT